CTTTCATTTTACTATTATCAACTTTTCTTATTTATTATTATTTTTTAGAGATAATGATGTTTGATAATGAATATATTCATATAATAGTATTATTGTGAGATTCAATTAGTCATACTACATTAATTTAATAATTTATTTATTTTTTATCATTTATGCTATAAAGATGGTGCCGTGAATAATGTTATAATGTTAACCAACTTACAAACCGCAGATAATATTTTGACTTTCATGATAATTTAGAAATCATTAATTAAAAAAAAGGGTTTACAGGAATTGTCTAAAACCATTAGTAAATTATTTTGTCATGTATATTTTCAACGAGCAACCATAAATAATGTCAAAATATACCTTCATTAAAAACACAAAATTCTTGTATCGATAACACCAACGTAAAGTCGCTTTACGAGTTTGATAAGAAATTCACATTATTACATCCACATAACCGAATGTCAATATATATATATATATATATATATATATATATATATATATATATATATATATACAAGATTTATTAAAAAAAAATTACTAGACACAAAAGAATGTGGTATATAATATATAATTATTACCAACTCAAAATTGATTTGCATGCAACACGAAATTTGTCACATATCTTCTCATTTGGATATGATTTTTTATCATAATAATATTACTATCAATAACAAAAACAGATTATAAATAGATATGGAAATTACATATAGACATTAAAGAATATTTGAAGAAATAGATAAAGACACTATAAACATACTATTATCTAATGTGATGATAAGTGAAGATCATCAAAGAAGAAACATATCTATCATATATCACTTCGATAAAGAAGCATATGGATCCTTAACTCAAACTTTTAGGTATATAAAAATAGAGGTAGACTATATGAATTTTCTCATTTATTTCAAAGATAGTGTTAAGAAACACAACTTGTAGAAAGTTAGTAACTATTAAGCATAACCACTAGAAATGCTAGAATATTCATGAGAAAAAAAATAGTAATTTGGAAGTGGCTTCTGTGTAGAAACATCTCTATGGAACAGTTCCTATACATAAAGTCCTTGAAGTTAAAAAAAAATGTTAATATTCAACCATATATATATATATATATATATATATATATATATATATATATATTAATGCAACCATGAAAATAATTCAATGATATATATATATTTTTTAAAACGTTAATATTAAGTCTTAAATTATATGATATTTTAATTAGGTTTTAGAACTAAAAAATTATAATTAGACTAATCTTTTAAAGTATGTATAGTTAAATCTTTAATAAAATTTATATTATCAGAAACTGTTATATTTGACAGTTTCAAATTGTTGTTAACAAACTTTAAGGATATAGGTTTTTAGTCTATACAAAATTTTCAAACAATTTAGGGACCATTCATGCTAATACAAGTTTCTTGAAGACAAATCTATAAATCAGATCTTAGGTTCCTTCTATTCTATAGTGAATAAAGAATAATTAGGGAGTTAATAATGAAGTTATTATATTATATTATATATGCTAGTTAGTGCGAATATTAAGCAACTAAAACATCAATAATCTCTTTCATTTTAAACGAATTTCTTATTAGTCTATTCATCAACATCTTAGCCCCTATGCCTATACATAGCATGAGTATGAGAATGACCTTGTTTTTCTTATCAAAACAAATCCAATGCAAATGAATTTGGAAGAATGTGGGTGCAAAAATTCCATGGATTTCAGTAGATAATATTCCAACAGGTTTGAGGAATATTCTAGACTTTTTAGTTCTTTCCATATAAAATAAGGTGAATCAATCGCATTAAAGAATCTTTAAAAAAACAAATCAAACATAAAACAATGAAAATTTAAGAATATTTTACTACATATATATCCTTAAGCCAATGGTGGTGCTGTGGGGACCATCATGTTCATGTTCATAATATATATATATATATATATATATATATATATATATATATATATATATATATATATATATATATTCTTCAATCATTGACACTTAAGACACAAGTTAAGCAAATCTTTGCTCTTGTTAGGCAGAATAACTTCCTCTTGGTCGGTTGGTGAAAAGAAAAGAAAAACTCTATTGAAACACTATAAATGAAACAAATAAAAAAAAAAGAGAGCCAAAAATTATACACAAATGGAATAAATTTTTAGATTAAGTAAAATGGATAATTTTTAATTGTTATATTTTTTTATAGTGTATTTACACTTAATGTTATCCTATATATTAATTTTTTTATTCAAATTTTAAATAAACTAAAAATAACATACTTTACATAGCACTTTTACTATATTAATTAATGTAATAATTAAAAAAAAAAACTTAAAATACAATATCAAAACAATGTAATGTGGTAGTTGAAATAGACAATATTATATAAAATATATTGTAATATCATTCTAAGTTTGAATTTACAACGTATATAATTTGGTTACGAAAACAATGAGTATATCATTAAAAACTAAACAATAAAAATTTATATATCAAAACAATATCTGTTTTTTATTTTGTTCACACGAGGGAAGAAAAGTGGATTGATACGGTAGTAAAATATAAAGCTACTTCACTTTTTAATTCTAGGATTAGATTCTCTTACCATTTCCTTTTTTCTTTTTGGTCGTGGATTCTCTTGCACTTTATACAAAGAGAAAACAGCAATAAAGACCAGAAACCTTCCCAATCGTAAAGTCCAAGCAAGATCTTTAATCCTGCGAATAACTGAAATTAAAACCAGGAAGAAAACCAATCTGAGGTAGCGTTTCATGATTTTAAAAGTTGAAGCCTTTATATATAATAGTAATTGCTGTCACATTTACTAACATTTTATGCATATTCTAATCCTCGTAAATATAAGCTCAAGGTTAAAAAATATATAATATAAAATATTGATTTATTGGTAAAAATATAAATTATAGCATTAAACTGTAGGCATTTGAAATTGTTAAATTCTAAAAATTTCTCAGAAACAATGTTAATGAATGAAATGTATAATCTCTTATTTGGGATCGGGTGAAGAAATTTGAGGGTTGAAGGAAACAATATTAAAGAAACAAACCATGCTTTGAATTGGAATCACTATTGTAAACCGAGGAAAACGTATCAGTGTAGAAGGAGCACAGTGTGGTGAATTTAGAAAGCATGCAAAGAACAGGTGCAAAAAATTCAAAGTTATCTTAACAAACAAACTTATGTGTATTTCTAAATTAGTAAAGTAAACAAGCTTAATATATAATTGAAAAAAAAAAAACAGTTTATATTCCAACTTGTGTGTATTGTTGGAAAAATTATGACACGTGTTAAAAAGGAATCATATATAAAAAGAGAAAATGAGATTCTACTTTTAAAATAAAATAATAACTGGAATCAAAATAGTCTTGAAACTGATGTGTAAATTTGAAAACAATTATGTAAAACCTAACTTACAGTTTTTTATTTTATATATATTTATCATTAGACAGTGATATATTGACTTTAAATTAATCTTCCAAATGTAGTTAATTTTGTCTTTCATTTATTTCGAATTGAATATAATACACGTGGTTTATTTTTATTTTGATTTTTTTTAAAAAGAGAATTGACTAGGATGGTTAGTTGATTTAAGTAGATTTAATTAAGGATTGATATTTAAAAATAATAAAATAAAATAAAATAAAATAAAATGTGAGGTCATTTACATAGGTGAAGAGTCACAAGTACAAGATTAATTTAAAATCACATGATTTTCTATATACAACTTTTCTTAATAGAATGTGAAAGAGTTTATTACTTTCACCAACAGTCATGGAATTACAATCCACTCCTATCTAAACTAAGACACAATTGATATTTCTAAGCAGTGAAAAGCAAAGGAATCGAAGCAATAACCTACTTGAATTAGTGCGATGTACGACAAGACAGTAGTAAGTTGGAGTATCTTATCCTTGAATTCTAAACAATGAACTTTAAAACTCTTGTCTTGTCTCTTGTCCCATGCATGAGCCAGGTGGGCATGCACGACCACTTTATTCTTCTCAACCGTTGCTTGCTCCATCATACTAAAGTGACCAAAGAATGAAACAGTTTATGGACACCAACACCAAATTAAGGTGAGACCAATAAAACTTGGTCCTACAACATTTTAAAGATGCCTCTCTTACTCACAAGACACCACAGTGTCACGAGTACATGCAACCTGCATGCATGCATGCTGTTGCAATCGAACATGCATTATTATTTGTAGAATCTATATCTCTAAATGGTTGGAGACCAATCAAACCCTAAAAAGGATTTTAGTTACTATTGTGTGTAGTACATGCCACATGCCACATGCACAAGGTACCTAAAATTTTGAAAATGTTCCATATCTTTGAGAACATATTCGAAGCCGGGTACCCTAATAAACCTAAGATGAGCCATACACGAATACATAAAAATAGTTTATAAGAATATGATTTTTCCAAAATTATTTGAGGACCTTTATATGTTCAACATAAGTTTAAACGCATAAAATATCTCTAGTTATAACTAAAGGCCTCCAACTATCCTTATATCATATAAGTTGATATAACTACTACTACTTCTACTACTTTACATTTTATACGTACATGCTCTATTAAACCTTATAGCATAACTTCTACTTATTCGATTTAAAAAAAAATCTATTTAAGATTGCTCTCTATAGTTAAAAACGTAAAATATTGAAAATATATTCAATAAAATGTGGGCCTTTTTACCCATTATAAAAGCACGTATATGACTATAATGACATGATCGAAGAGTAATTTTCCATTTGCAATAAACATTGATTTTGTTAGTTGGGATATTTGAAATAAAGTCGTAAACATGAAATTAATAACGACAAATGATCATATGTTATGGGCGGATAATATACCATACTATAAGAACATTTTTTTTTAAAGAATCTAACACATGTAAATATTATCAAAATCATCTTCATGTCACAGTAAGGTTATTCAGAACGATGAGCAAGCTAAATCATAAATTGAATTAGTTATGCAACGAAGCTTAGGGAGAGCATTTTGCTTGGTGAGTCCTTTCTTTCGCGAAGCCCCGTTCATAGAAGGATCTGTTTCTCCAATTTGGTGTTCTTACATGGAAACGGTCCAACCAAAGTCACTAGTTAACACCGAAGGTACCCCAGCATTAAACAAAGGTGAAGAAAAAAATATAATATTTTTAAATTTTTCACCGGCAAAATTAATTGAAAATTGTTACAATAACAACATATAACATCAGTTTTACAGGATATATAACATCAGTTTTTGAATAATCCTCGAAAGTTAAGAGAATTTGCATCAGTTCTGAACCGATATTAAAAGTTGATTTTATCTTTTAAAAATATTTGTTGTTTTATGACATTTCCAACTTGTAAATAAAATTCAGTTTAAATACAACCATAAAAATTGTTAACCACATATAAAGTAGTCTAAAATAATTATAAAAAAGTCCTAGATAATATATAATATTAAATTTAATAAATCATAAATAAATATTTGAGTAACAATTATAACAATCGATGACAATACAAGGGAGGATGATGCAATTATAACGAAAGATGAGACTACAATAAAGTATGAGATAATGATGGACACTAACAACATAAGAAAGGATGCTAAAGGATGAACATATGATGAAAAGTGAAGGTGTGTGGGTACAACAGATGATGTAGCAAAGGGTGAGAGGATGCAATGAAAGATGTGACGGAAGATGCAATGGAGGTCATAAGGAAGCAACAGATAACATAGTAAAGGATGAAATGAGATTACGAGAACGTAACGAAGGGTGTGAGGACGTCTCAGAGACCATGAGAACATGATGGAGATCACGAGGACATGACGAAAGGCAATGAGGAGATGTGATGTGATGAACGACAATAATTTAATTGCACAAACTATCGATAAAAAAATAAACAAGTTGCTAAACTAATGTAGTATTGCTAACCTGTGTCAAATCTCATAAAGACATAATTATAAAAACATATTCAATCACACATCATTTTCTTTAAAAACTATAAATAACTTTAAAGATGGGGTGACGAAAGAGTGAAAAATAAATTGATGCGAGAATAATAAAATTTAAAATCAAATTGCAAAAAATAATAATAATGATTAAAATTAAATTAAAGCAAAATTTAAATAACTGAAATTTATAAAATTTAAAACAAAGTGCTTTTAATTAAATTCAAAGGCTTCCAAAATAAAGTACAGAATAAAAAATTGCTTTAAAATAAACTAGTGCAGTAATTAAGTATAATTTTTTTAAAGCGATAACTCTAAAATTAAATTGAGAATTGTACTTGGAATAGGGAGAGTGATGAATTGAAAATAAAAATTAAGCGAGTATTGGAATAAAATAAAATTTTTAAATAATTAAATAAATAAAATTCGAGTGAGTACTTGAATAAATAGAGTAAACAAAATAATATAAACTGAAAAATTGAATAGAAATTGTAAATTAAATAAAAGAAAACAAACTGAAGGTACAACAACAGTATATGAATTTGTCTAACTAAAAACTTATAACGGAAAAGAAAACGGGGACGAGACAAAATAGTAGCTCGCACCAAAGCAAGAGAGTGTGAATGTGTAGTCATCAGACCTCTATTTATAGGAGATTGAACAAGAGAAATTAAACCTGAAATTAATTATAATAAAATTAAATATTTTCCAAATTAAAAAAAATGTTGGGTTATTGTGACAAGAAATTTTGGGACTGATTTGAAGGAAATAATCAGCTTTTTTCCTATTTTGAGTGATTCCACATTGATTTGCATTTAATTCTTGATTCTTGATAACCTTTAATTCAACTAAATCTGATTTCCACACAAGTTAATTTGCTTGATTCAAAATTTTCATGTGTAATGTTCCACAAGTGGGTCTGTACAAGTAAATTTGTGGCTTTATTTCCATTAATTTAGCCTTGTTTCAAATTACATTTATCTTAATAAAGAAAAATAAAGAAATATGCATTATGAATGTATGAATATATATTATTATTTTTTATGCTAAAACTATGTAAAATACAACAAATCAAGAAAATATGAGTTATGATATGTTTTTAATGAAAACATGTTAAATTTATATTTTATAAAGAAATAATTAGCTTAAAAAATGTTCTTAAATCAATAAATAAAGAAATAATTATTTTAAACAAATTGTTAAAATAATGTAGTATACCTAACTCATGTCGAATCTGGAGACAATTATAAAAACATATCCATTATTACACATCATTTTCTCTAAAAATAATAAATAACGAGTAAATGAGAGGTTGATGATAATAAAACGAAAGAGTTAAAAATAAATTAAAGTTAAATAATGAAAAATTAAAATTAAATTACAACAAAATAATAACAAATATTAAAATGAAGCAGAATAATGAAAATTTAATAACTAAAATTTATAAAAATAAATTGAGTGCTTTTATCTAAGTTCAAAACTTTCTGGAATAAAGTGCCGAATAAAAAATTATTTTCAATCAAAATAGAAGAGTGCAATAGTTAATTTTAAAATTGTCAAAAAAAAAACCTAAATTTAAGTGCTAATTAGAATCGAAAAACAGTAAAATAAAATTAGAATTGAATGATTGATAAATTAAAATCGAAAATGAAGTAAATGGAATATTGAAATAAAATAAAAATTTAAAACAATTAAATAACATAAATTAAACTGAGCATATAATAAATAAAACAAATTCAACAATATAAAACGGAAAAATTTAAGAGAGATTGTAAACTAAATAAGAAAAGAGAACAAACCGAAAAGTTATAATAGATCCTTACTAAGTTCGCTAAACTAAAAGCTAAACTAAAGGAACATGGAAACGGAATGGAAAAAATAGGAATAAGATAAAACAATAATTTAGTCCTCGAGAAAGAGATTGTGTTTTCTTTTTCTTTCGTCGGACATCTATTTATAGAGGACTGACAAAGAGAAAATTAGTTAGAATTAGTTACAATAAAATCAAATATTTTCTTAACTAAAAATTGTAGCACTTGATTATTGTGCAATGAGAAATTTCTTATTGGAGAAATTTAAATTCTTTCCTAATTTGAGTTGATTGAGCTCTAATTTGTATTTAATTCTTAATTTTTGTAACCTTTAATTTAACTCAATTAGATTACTACAATAATGTAATTTGATTGATTTAAAATTTTCATTTGTAACCTTCCATAAATAGACTTGCACCTTTATTTTCATCAATTTGGTCCATCTCAAGTTACCTTTTTCCTAAAAAAAAAATGCACTATGAATGTATGAATGCATGCTTTGATGCTAAAATTGTGCAAAAAGTCAAGAAAAATTAAATTATGCAATGTTTTTAATGAAAACATATTAAATGTATGGTTTATGAAAAAAATAACTAGTTTAGAAAATGTTCTTAGATCAAGAAATAAAGAGTAAAATGATATACATTAGTTATGGAGGTTGAGAATGCGACGGAGGACAAGCAAGAAGAAGAAGAAGAAGAAGAATGGTTTTGTAGAAGAGAAAAAATGTTTAAGGTTTAAATATAGAAGAGAAAAACAAGAAGAATCATTTCATAGAAGAGAGAAGTGTTTCATAGAGTTATTAAATACTTTCTACATCGATTATTTTAAGGCTCCAATATAAAATTCATTGGCAATATGATGAATAATCTAACAAATATTTAAATTATACTTCATGACATGAGACAGATAATGTGATACTTCTAACATATCCCGTCCAATGAAATATGTTAGACCAGATAAAGAGTATTTTTGACCTATAATGAAATGATAACTCTTTGACTTAAGACAATAATCGAAAAAAATTAGATTTTGACATCACGATAAAATTCTAACATAAAGACAAATAATGTGGGACAAAAAAAACCAATGTTAAATTTCAACATCAGTTACAATACAATCTATATAAACAAAATTGTCTAATTTATCACTACCTTTTTTTCTATATCAATTCCTTTATAACTCATATTAAATAGTGTCGTTAAAAAGCTACATTAGGAAACAAATGGAGAGATTGTGTCTGGACCGTGAGAAACCATCAATGCTCCAATTTAGAGAAATAATATCCCGCAACTTTATTATTCAATCTGATATTTAATAGGTAGTCACTTATTGTTTTAATTACATTTTATGCTACTTATATTGTAGAACTTATATATTGTGACTATTCCACCACTCAATCCTCCTCCTTCAAAATATCATTATTAATGGAGTCAATGGGACTCTCTTAATGGACAAGTACTTCCCTAGTGGACAAGACTACCGTGTCTACCAAGGGGCACCATCCTAAGAAGAGTTACTCAAGGAGAAGGAAACAGAAAGAGACATTGTAGTAAGAGACAACAACAAAGTCAATAAGGTTTAGACATACCCAGGACACAAAGAATGGACATAAAAAATGAATGAAGGACTTCTCTCAAACTAGACGTAGGAAAAACACCAGTAGTTAACATAAACGATCAAGTGAAATAGTGAAGGCAAGAGTCTTAATTTTACGTAAGAGAGAACATTTCAAGATCAAACCACATGTCTCCCACCAACTCAAATTTGAGACGTGACGTTTAAAGAAACCATTGGGAAGCAAAGTGATGGTAGCTTAATAGAAACATATAGATGTTGTTTCAATATTCAAGAAAATCCCTTATTAAAGATTATAAATTATTAATCATAAAATTTACCATGTAAGTTCATTTTAAGCTTAACTAGAAAGATAGTTCTTAAATCTTGACTGTATGAAACAATAAAATTAAACAAATCGGTCCTATAAAGATTGTAAGCCATAATTACACTGATTTTATGTTTACTAATATCAAATAACACTGATTTTATAATTAGTAAAAGCAAACTGGTTTTATAAAATTATTAAGTTAAGACGTACAATCATAGTTAGTTAATATACACTTTAAGTAACAATCTGTTATGCATAAAAAACTTAAATTGTGTAAAAATTTGTATACACATTTGTTCAAAGAGAAACAACTTATAAAATCAATTAATTTTTATGGAATATACTATAATTTATTGTATAGGAGTAAATTTCATATTTTGCAAGACAAAATTGACTTGTGCGATAAAAGAACGCTGTCTTGGACTGTTTCAAAGTGTTGAAAAGGACACCATTCTTATCTATCATCCAGTGCTGTTATCTTGCTTTCTTCAATCTTTTTGAAGATATGGTTGTAGTTTTCTTCTTCTGCTGAACAATCTGGTCATTCGTCGTGTTAATTAGTGGACCCAAAAAGTGCTTAAATAGTCAAAATTTTCTAAATACACTGGAAAGTAAAATTCTTAATTTCAAACGGATCATATTGAGGTGATGTTGCCTTTATAATAATAACATATAATCAAAAGGCATCTTCCCGAAAAATATACATAGTAGAAAAACTTTGGTTCAGTGGATGAAGTATAAATCCTTCACTCTGAAGTCTGAACTATCAAGCATATAATGTGGAGCCACGTATCCCTTTATGCAAAACCCTAATTAAGCCTATCTCATTTTTTATATGTATAAGAGCTATTTATTTTATTTTATTTATTTTTATTTGAAGAACACATGTAACAACTAAAGCTATATAAGTATGAGACAAAAGAAAAATTTATATTAATGCATATATATAACATCTTTTGTGGATAAGGAAAAGGGTATAATTACTTGTAGATGCACTATGCAGCCTAACCTTGCAGGAAATTTTGTTTCACAGAGACAGAATTTGATACCTTTCCAAACTTTGGTAGGGTAGATTTTTCTGCCTAAAGGTTTTTGTCTTAGATTCTTACTACTCATAAATCGCTATCAACCATAACTAAAGTTATTAAGGCAAGTGAACTTTTTTTCTTTTCCTTCAAGAAATGAATTCTCTTAATATTTAGATCGTGAAAGATTTTCATTTTAATTTTCTGTTAAATATCGTGAATAATTTTTGGCAAAAATAACACAACTCATGTCTTATTAATTACATGAAGCACCCCTTCTCATGACTTAGACCCTTGAGCTAAAAGCCTAAGACCATAAAACAAGATAAGAGAATGAGAAAACATGTTTTTATGTTTTCTATTTTTAATATATTTATTATGGAGAATAAATTTTAAAGCATAAGCTATATTCGAATAAATTTTTCCATTAACATATGCATTTGAAAAGAAAATAAACAATGAAACAAAATTCTCATAAATTAAAATTAAATTACACATAAGTTAATTTATAAGAAAAGTATGACATTGATATTTAAGTTATAGGAGAAACATATTTTTTATACAAAGAAATTTATCTAAACGATATATTAATATATTTTTTAAATGTTTTAGGTAAGAAATGATCACAAAGTATTTCGAACAATAGTTTTTAAAACTAGAAAGTGAAGCAAATCCAATAACATTTTTATTTTTTTCATTTGAATTTAAACTTTACTTGATGAAAACAAACTCCTTTCAACTGGACCATAATCGTTATTAAATTTGTAGCTAAAGTATTCGAATATTAAATGATATCATATGGATTCTATTAGAAAAAAGAGACCAACATATATTAGAAAGCAACCAAACTTAATAAACTAATAATTGGAATAAACCAGTGAGCCAATACGGGTTTAAAGAGATTATGCTTCAAGATTTTTAGATGAGGGACCATCCTCATCTTTATCTGGATTCCATTTCACCACAACAATATATAAACCCTCAATCTCATGCCACTGAACTACTGAAATTCACACCTTCAATACAATATTTGTTCTCAAAATTCTCTTGCTGGTTAAAATGGATGCTGCATACAGAAAGGGTAGTAGAGGCTCCTTCAAAGGAAAATTACCTTTCTACAGAAATAATGCACCAAAGCCTTCCTCAACCATCCAATACAAAGCCACAGATATTAAGCCAAATCACTACACTTCTCCTCCTGCCACTCTAGGGTTCGTGGTCCCCCAGGACTTTGCAACCACAAAGAGAGATCCAAAGGTTCGCATTAAGGTAGCAGATAGTTGTAGCAATTTGGATGAGTTGTATGGTCTTCCTGGAGATGAAAGTGTAGACAAAAAAGCTGAAATATATATCGCCAAGGTTCAAAAACGTTTAATGCTTGAGCGATTGAACGCATAAGCAATCAAGTGTTCAACCACGCTATATATATATATATATATATATATATATATATATATATATATTAGCTATAACATGATTATAGTTGCAGGGCCTAGCATTCAATAAATATAACCTTTATTTGTGCTATTTGGGCACTTTGTGCAGAGAGAATTATGCTATGCTGTAATAAGTATGCTCATGTTAAATAGTACAGTAGTTTGTTTGGATTATACAGTAACATGTTTGGCTAAGCTATGGTTGTATAGTGATTAAGTGTTACTATTTTGGGTTGTCAAATCATAGGGAGTAGAATTTGAGACTAAAGATTGCTTTCTCATTGTGTCAAACTGTAGGTTCCAAACTGTAATCCGAACGAGATATTTAGTTCAAGCAAACCAAATTTAGTTTGCACTTTATGAAGTTTTCACTTTCATTGTTAATTGTAGCTAAGTTTTCTCTCAACTCAACGCAGTGCTGATAGAAAGAGGATAGCTTGTGAATCCCCTATGCTTGCAGTTACTTTATTTTAAATGCAAAAATTCTGAACTTGAAACATGTGTTTTCATGAAACAATATATTAAGCTAAACTTTAGTGAGTTCACAATCATGGACCATAGACAGCAAAATGCAGAATAGCTAGAAGAATCTGTTCTTCTGTCATGATCACTTTTCATACTGAAAATTGGTGATGAAGTTTGTCCTTATAAGCAAACTAGATCAAGGAACTAAACAAATGAAATATTACTTGAAAATGTTTCTTTTTTGTTTGCATGTGTTTTCCACACTATAGGTAATGAGTGAAGTTTTTTCTAATATTTCTTCGGTAAGATTCCCCACACTCCCCGCTTTTATACATGAATTATCACTTTTAATTGGTTAAATTTACGTTTACGTTATGATGTTAAGGAATTAAATATTTCCAGATGTAATGCATCATAGTTTAAACAAATATTATGATTAGTGTTAATCTTGTAAGAGAAGTACATTAATTGTTTAATAATAAATAGAATAATACGAAGAATAATAGTACATGATAAAAGATTGAAGAGAAATTGTTAGTGATGTGATTTTAAAGTGATAGTAATTGATATATACATAAATGATTTGGGAAGAAAAGACAACAATAAAATACTATAATTAACATGTGAGTTGATTAGGCATAATAGTAATATACTAATATTATAATTAAAATCATTATTGGAGAGGTAAGGCATCAAAGTTAAATCATTATAAAATTAAAATAGTATTATTTTCAATTATTATATTGGATTGAACAAGTTTTAACACCTCTAAAATTTTCTAATATTAAAATTGATATTTTAAGAACACCATTACTATTTTTCTTGCATGCCTTATCCACGAGATATTTTGGCACCTTTGTCGTTGGTAGTACAAGTTGTAAGGGGAGTGGAATGGTGGATCTGATTCTGTTCCAACATCAGCATCTTCATACCCATGACGTTGTTTTATGAAGTTAACATCATCATCCATGTTTCCATAACGTCATTAGGAATTTTGTGAAGAAAATTTCCATATCCATTAGTTGAATAATTACTGCCCTGGATCGGTCGTGAATTATAAAAGCAACTGTTTCTCCATAACAGGCAGCTTCTGGGGACAAAATCAGCTATATATTCCCAAAGCAACGCTTTGAAAAAGAGAAGAAAGTAGATAAAGAAAGAAAGCATCCAGGGAACACACTTATATATTAGCATTGAAGCGTTTGTTGTTTCAATATAGTGTATCGCGTTTATACAGGTTTTTCTTAAAAGCTATCTGGTAGTTTGAGCGAGAGACACTTTAGCGAACACTATGTCGCTTAAGAAATGACTTTGAGTGAATGGATACCCTCTCAAACACAACTAGCTTCAAGTCATTTCTTTCCTGCTTAAGCGAGCGTCACTTTAAGTGTGTTATTATGGCTTAAGCAAAGAACATTTTAAGTCAAGGTTTTAGGATTTAAGCCAGGGAAACTAAAAGTGAATATATTTTATATTTTGAATTATAAATGTAGGTCAATTTTAATAATGCAAATTGAATTAGTGTAATCAATGTAAAAGTAAATATGATAACATAATATTTGTGTTCAAAAGCATTAAAATAAAAGTTAAACATAATATATATAAAGGATAATGAATCAATGATCACTATCATCTAATTTTTCATCTTCTTATCGATCTTCTGCAAGAGATTGAACTTGTACAAGAGCTTCAAATTATGGAAAATTTGAGGTTAAAATTGTATCATTAATTGAGTTATTTATTTCAAAAACAAATAGGACTCTTCCTAAAAAAATAATATATAGGTTGGTAATAATAATATAAACATATTTTTTTTATGAAGATTTATTATGACTAGTTCTAATTTACCTATTATTGGATAGTAAAAATTTTATAATTAAAGCTCATTTTTTATAATAATTCAATTTTAAATTATCATGCTAAATACTTTTTGACTCTGTTCAAAATTAAATGTCATAATAAATATTTTTTATATCGATTCAATTTTAAATCGTCATATAAAGAATTTTATCAATTTTAAACATTAACATTTTTTATATCGGTTTAAAATTGAATCGGGATAACATATACTTCTTATGTTGATTATTATGTTAAGAACTTATATAAATAAATCAGTTATTTAACAACAAAAAATTTTATATATTGTTTAGATCTATGTTAGTTATACAATTGAATAGAAAATGACTGTTATAGAAAGTATTCATTGTACTAGTGTAACAAACTATTTTGTCTTGTCATATTCAAATAATGTGATATGACATGATGAAGAAGATGAAAATTTATATTTGTCTGTCATAAATCTCAATTCATAAATTTATCCTCTTTTGTTCATACCTTTGATAACATTGAAAACACATGTGAGCTCTATAAAGGGGGCGAGGGGTAAAAATATTCTTTTATAAACAAATAAGTAATAAATATATAAACAGATAAATTATGAGCAAATAAAGATGATGTACATATATGGGTCCATTCCCAACTAAGGACTACATCTATAATTAATCCTTTAAAAACTTAAAATGTTCCACTATAATAAATAAGATTACACCGAGTATCAAGTCATTCCTAATTATAAATGAGTACACTAAGTCACTTCTAACTATCAACCTTAATCTTCTCTTGAAACTAAAAATACAAAAATTATTTACTATCATTTTTGGTTACAAGAATGAGTGTATAAGTATTATATTAACTAAAATAACTCTCTATAAGATAATAAATAATAAGTATTATTATCTAAGATTTTACTTCACTAGGTGAAGATTTTAATAATGATTTTTTCTCTTATACTTTTTGAAAGAAAATATTTATTATAAAGATAAAACCAGAAGTTAATAGGATTATATTGTAGTTATTGTTATGGTGTCTTCAAAGGTTGATGTCTTATTTTTATAGGTTTGAAGATGTAATTGTTAAAACCCTAGTCTTTGTTATTTTCCGAAAGCATTTATTCAATAATATGATACTTTTTATATTTCTTTAATATTCTTTTTTTATATAAGGTCTCACTTTTTGTATGTCAATATATTATTCAATTATCTAGTTCAAATGTTTTTCGTATATGACTTTATATCAATTCATATATTTATATTTTTATGTAAACATTATCATTGGAGAAAAATATTTTCTTCTTCTATGTATCTTAGACAAATTTTGATATATTAGATATTTTTTATTTTTGTTTGTAAAGTCTTAATATTGTTTATTTTTCCATTGTGTTATTTGCCTATTATAGTATATAATATATAACATTTTAAATTTTGATCCTTGTACATATATTTTTTTACGAGATTTCCTTTATTTTATTTTTTTTCATTTTGATTTAATCAATATATATCTTTTTATGTCATATTTCAAAATTTATTTTCAAAATTATTTTGCATTTAATACTTGATTAATTTGGTATGATGATTTGTTCATTAACTTATTTATTATGACAAACTTAAATAGATATTAAATATTCTAAAATTAATCATATTTGTTATCATGGAAGTCATGGTTTGATCTTTTGTTTTTAAGAAATATAATAAAAGATGTCATTATTAAATGGGTGATACATCATTATTTATTGCATCTAATGATACTCCGTTGACAAAACATTTTTTTATCCTAAAATTAAAAGTGATATATTTCATATTTGAAACCACAAGTAAATAATAAGAAATAGTTAAAACTTATAACAATTAGAGAACACTCATGTAATCTCCCTTGCCAATCTTTTATGTCTTCTTGAGTTAGTCCCCACAAGTTATAATTATATTTGTAGTTGTCATTTGATTTTGAAGACAAACATAAATTAGTTGTAATGTAGTCAATAATAATAAAAACAACTTATATATAATGTATTTAGTAAATGTGAAAACAATTTAAATAACACACTAGTAATTTAAAATATGCAAGGATTGACATTCTTTAAGCATTATTTTTCTCTATCTTACCAATTTTTATTATTCTTTCATGGAATTCAATCTTTAACATCAATCCACCGTTGCACCTATACATTACATTTGAATAATCTTACGATGTTTTGTGCTTATATATTCTTCTAATTTGGGTGTCTGTATTTCCCTACGCGACAAAGTCATCTATCATTAATATTTAACAAGTAATTATATGAAAAGTAAAAATATAAGAAATATGAATACATCTTCACATCGCTTTGTGGCCAAATTTGGATATACAGTCTTAATCTCTTTATAGGTTTCTCAACTTCTTTAAAACTTTTAAGAACAAACAAGATACAAACAATAAGTGTTTTTTAAAGCACTCTCTTCCTTGATTTTCATGTCTTAGGAAGTACTCTATATATAGTGTTAATAAAATAAAAATGTTAAAATAGTAAGTATTCTAAAAGTATTTGGATCATTTCAAGAACACAACTACGAAAAATCAAGGCACATTCTTCCACCCCTGTTCATCCTGCATCCTATATTCATTTAAAAATTGCCTTTATTGTAAAATAGGTTCTGGATTTCAAAAAATTGACTTCGAAAATCTTTCGGAAAGATTAATTCAAAATATTTGTAGAAAGCTCATTTAAAACACTTTTAGAAGATTGCATTTAGAACTTTAAATCATACATGCGAAAAATTAATTATGGATTTGGCTTTCCGGAAAGTTTTTGGATTAATCTTTTTTTAATAGTAAAAATATATTCTGAAATTCATGATCCAAAACTTAAAAAAAAAATATTTATTCATTCATCAGAAATATTTCTAGAATTTTCAATCCAAGATATATTTTTAGACACTAGTTTCATAAATTAATAAATATGTTATTGTTTTTTCAAATAAATATGGGGGGCAAAGAGAATATATGAGGTGCAGAAAAAAAATGTGCCATAAACCAATCCTATTCAAATGTAAAACAGTTTGGATAATTTTTTACTCAGTTCCAGACCGTGTTCATCTTTTTGCAGACCTGCTTAACCAGGATTTGATCTTCTTAATACGAATCGTGTACAACCAACTCACCATCAAATCATCTCCTTTTAATCATTTTCATTTCAGTGTCTTCACTCTGTATCTATGACTCTGATTTACAATTGAATCAATAATCATTCAGTTCAGTTTTCAAAAGAATAATTATGTTGAATGTAAAGTTTATTTTTATTCAATACTTCGATGAGTTTGGACTGGTTAAATTAAAAGTGTATTTAATTATTTTTTCCAAAACAATTTTAAAAAATAGTTTTTAAAAATTAGAAAACTATTTAAAAAAATAAATAAACACCCTTATATTTTTCTGGAGTTAAACCATTATCTTATTTAGTTTAATAATGCTTTTCATAAACTGTAATTATTTATCTTATTAAATGATGTAAATAGAATAATATGATATTTTTATTAAAGTATTTTTTTGTTAATTTATATAAGTTATATTTTCACACTCTCTCCTAAAACCAATTTCATATAAAAGAATATTTCAAAAAGAGTATCTCCAAAATTGTGTTTCTTAAAATATTATTTTAAAAAAACAAATAAAAATAAAAACAAACAGTATCAGCTTCATATACTTAAAAGACTATATGTTTTTGTTCCAAACAGACTTAAAAACTTATATTTCTATATTTTTTCAACTAATGATTATTATTAGTTCTCAATTACTCATTACAATTTGTTAAGTGGTATTGGGCCCTGTCTAGAAGGGCAACAATACAGGGTCTCGAGTCTTATGTGGAAGTATTAACTTATATGAATTTTTAAGATTGTGAAAATATAAACCTTTTAAGATTATCAAACGATAGGATAACATTTGGTGAATCAAATTGTAAGAGGAATAAGGGGAGTACATCCAATACAATTGCCAGCCTTGAATTCTGAAAACACAGTCCATACCAATCAATATCCCCATCCCTGCCCATACTCGTAGATCATGGCAGTACCAACTCCTACTACTCTCACTTTATGTCACACTCATCAATCCTAATTCTAAGAAAACCATCATGAAATATTATACAATATCATACATGAAAAAGTTAAAACCCATGACACCACCTCCTCAACTATAACACCATTTCTTTCATTTCTTATTGTTCATAGTCTTCTACACCTTAATTTGTTGAGTTTGAACCGTGTCTGAGAGCAAAGATTGATGAAACGCCAAATGGAATCGGAAGAGCACCACCAAGTGAGGGTTTTACACGAGCTATGTTCCCTCATCATTAACTCTGTAAAGTTTCCTCCTTTACCCTATCCATTTCCCACCTCGTACCCATGTTCATCACGGAGACAGGTGTGGTGGATAACGTTCGCTAGGTCGCAGGATTCGCGAGCGGCATTGGCGTCCCTGTTTCTGGGGATGTCCCTGTCGCTGATGCTTGTGGGGTCGGTCACTTTCCTGGTTGGGTTGTTGTTGCTGCCTTGGGTCACTCTTCTGCTGCTGCTCTCCTACGTCGCTGCACTTCTCTCCAACTTGTTCGTGTTGGGTCGTTCCATTCTTGGTTCCATCGCGTTGCAGAGGGATCTTCCATGTCAGCCTCTCTCTCTTCTTCATTCCTAGCCTACCTTTCCCTTTCATAACTGTTTTATTGTTTGGTTTTATAATAATGTTAAATGGCTTTGGGTTGTTACTATATTATTATTATTATTATTATTATTATTATTATTACTCGCTTATCTGTTTCTTTTTTCCAAATTTAAAATTGTAGGGTATGTAACTAATATATTTGTTTTAAATTGAAATAAAATTGTTATATAATTTCCAATTACTTTTAAATGCCAAAATCCTAATGGAAGAGTGACAATATAACAATTGAAGCATAAAATGAAGACAAATTTGTTATTGTTATAATCTATAAATTATTATTTTGATGCTTTTATCTGTTCAGACGAAGCCATTACATGCAGCTGAAGCTATAGTTGGTGTCATGATAATCTGGTTGCTGAGATTTGATGACGTCAATTTTGCTCACAATAAATGAACTATTTCATCACTTTGCGCGTGTGAATTTTGATTTTCTCATTCTGTTGTGGCATGAACTAGCTAATATATATGTAACTGGTGAAGAAGTTTTAATTGACTTCAATTATGGTTGAAGAATCAAAGCATCTTGTATTGTGATTGATGTGATTGTAATGGAAATCAGAAACACTGGTTAATGGCCATCATGGAAAATCATATGTACACACTATAAGTGTTATAAATTCAATAATAAATTGCTTTGAACAAAAGGATTAGAAACAAAACTACTAAACAACAAACATACCAAGAGAAAAACGAGGCTCTAATCTAAATTTAATAGAATACGCTGGGAAGCAACCTTGCAAAATTCAAAACCATACTTCTGAGACCAAAACATCTTCCATCATATTCTAATTCCTTTACTTTTGTTTTTGTTAAACTATATATAGAGCAAGGTGGTGGATGATTTATCCACTACCAATGTGAACATTAATGGCAATAAGGAAGATGGCCATGAAGCCAAAGAAGAGAAGGGAATGAACAAAGATGGAGATGCCACTTGTTTGGAAATTGCAGAAATCCACTGGCCTTCCTTTGCCAGGAAGCTGGAAGAGTAATCCTGGTGAAAACAACACAAACAGGACTAAGCCTATGACCACCCCAGCCCAATCACCCATTAATCTCTCTTAAGTTTTATTTGGGATTAAGAGACCCAAATGCTAAATGAAAATGGATAAACACATGAATTTATTTATATTGGAATGTTTGAAGGGTTTTGGTAAAAGCAGACAACATAAAGTTCAAGGAAGGGAAGTGGGAGAAATTGAGGTTGAAAGATGGGACAAATGGAGTGGCTTGGCTTGGATCAGAATCGGCAGAGTCAGATGGCGACGATTCCTTGAAAGTCACTTCCCCGCCTCGTGGCATCACACTATTATAGGGATCGACGGCTTCCAATTAAGTCTGAAAGAATGTTTCTTTCTTTCACACTTTACTTTTTATTTTATTGAAGTTTATTAGTTGTGCTTGCTCTTCCATATAAAAATGTTTATTACTATAATTCGTAGGATAATAATTATAAAGTTTTAAAATTCATTTTTAATTTATATTATCATAGTTAGTTAATAATTTGCCCGTCAATAAATTTTCCTATTATCCACAAAAAATTACTTCCCGAATTCAATTAATAACTAACTTGTTAGGTTTTTTTTATGTAATAGGTGTAATTTTTTTTTAAACTTTATCAAAATAGATAAAATTTAAAAAAATTATAGATTTAACTGAATCGTATTATGAAATACGATTTCAAAATAAGAAGTCGGAAGTCGCAGTTTATATAGAAGTCGTATTTGATAATATGACCTTTATTTTTTTATTTTTAATATGTTTTTATTTTTTTTAATTAATATTATAATAATTATTTTTTTAATATTATACTATAATATAATATAATATAATATTTATTTTTATATAATAATTATATTAATAAAAAATTAATATTCATAATTATAATAATAAATATTCAACCATACTAATACTATTTGAACTATTATTATAATTATATTATTTTATTTTTATTAATATTATAATTAATTATATTAATACATTTATAAAAATATTTTTAAAAAGATATTTTATGTTTTCTTTCCTTCATTTAAATGTATCTATTTTTTATTAACTACACATATCATGATTTTTTTCTTTCTCAATAACAAATTTCTTTTATTATATTTGTATACGTTATATTTTTATTTTTCGATGACACAAAATAAACTATAATAAAAAATATCTTTTATACATTGTTATAGATAATATTGATAAATATAATAATAATATTAATAATTATTATAATAAATAATAACAATAAAAAATAATATCAAATATAATTATAGTTTATAATAATAATAATATTAAAAATTATATAATAATATTAATAATGTAATAATATTTATTATATTATCATAATTTGTTATTATAATTATTAATATTTTTATTATTTTTTATTATAATCATTTTTATTATAATAATAAATATAAATATTTTATTAAAAATTATTATTATTATTTGTATAATATTTTATTAGTTATAATTATTATTTTTATTATAATTGTTACTATTATTATAATATAATATTAATAATAATTATAATTATTATTATTATTATGTTAATTAAAATAAATATAATAAAAATAAAAAACTAATAAAAAAATAAAAACGTAAAAGTCGTATTATCTTTACACAAACATCGTACGACTTTTAAAAAAAAAATTAAAAGAAAGTGTAGGGTAAAATACGACTTATTTGAAGTCGTCTTTTAAAATATTACTTATTTAAATATAATTTTTTTAAAAATTTATCTATTTTAGTGAATTAAAAAAATTATACCTATTAAATAAAAAAAGCAACTTTTTTCTTATTTACAAATTTAACAAATGTAAATATGAAAATTACATTTTTACAAATCTTATCACATATTTATATTTATACGTAATATTTAATTATGTGCCTTTTTTTAGATAAGTAGTAATTTTAGTTTTATTATTATTATTTTATATCTAGAAAACTTTTATCAAAAACTTAATTGGTTATAATCTCGATGTACCTCCCTCGTAGCCCCTTCTTCCCCATTAGTTATTTAAGGATACTATTCTAGTTCATTATTGGGATTTTGACTATTAGTCAAATAATATATTATATTATTAATAGATAATAAATAAATATGAAAAAAAAATAAAAGAATATAAGAGAGTAAGAGATCAAATTTGTAAATATATATTTAATAATCATTAAGTTTAGGGAGACAAAAATCATAAATGTTAATATAAGTTACATATAAGAATAATCATTAAATTTAGGGACAAAAATCATAAATGTTAATTTAAGTTACAAAACTTTAGATATTTATGGTCTTCCTCATCTCCCAAGAAATATAAGTTACAAATAGTAATAATTATTAAATTTGAGGGACCAAACTCATAAATATTAATGTAAGTTACAAAACTTTAAGGATTCATTGCTTCCGTCGTTTCCAAGAAGATCCATCACTTTAAAGGACACACTCCCTTCTCATCATTTCGTCAAGAATCACCCTCTTCCTAACGTCTCCTAGTCCAATCCTCCAAATCGTATCACCCATTTCCTCTTATTTTGTGTGATGTCTAAAGTAGTCTTCCAAACCCCAATGAAACCTTATCTAATTTACAAATTATCAAAATTCACTAAATCATCAACTTATTGAATTCTTTAGCCATTACAAAGAACGATTTTAAAGTCATCCTTTCTCGAATGGTGTTTAAAGAAAGCGTTGAGACCACAAGATAAAGTCATGCTCGGGAAACTTAAACATCATGGCCTTGAAACAAAACCTTACAAGCCATGCACGAATCATGAAAGGACTTGTCATCTTGAAGGTGTATTGGAATTAAAGCATCAAGTTAAAATCTATTGAGTCATGGTCCCTTTTACGAGTTGTCCTATTGACAAATATTTAAGAGTAATATCAAGAATGATAATTCGTTTAGTAATAGGCTTCGTAATCTTAAGATTTTAAACTGAAATTAGTTTCTTGTTTTCTTATGTGGTTAGTTATGGCATATTCCAATTAAGTTCTCCAATGTTGTCATTTTCAAAGAACATGGTAAAATATATGAAAATTGGTTATTCCAAACTTGAGTTTGGATATGATCGAGGTGGTTGTCATGTGTTGTTCGAGTTGTGCACTTTATGTGCTCTGTGTTATTATTTGTTGTGTAAATTATTTCATCAGTTCATTTAGGGTTGACCCAGAGTTATCCTATGCATGTTGATGTTGTGTTGACATATAGTGTTGATTCACATGTTGTCTTGTTAGGAGATGTTGATACTCCTATTGTATGTATTGACCTTGGTTGTTTGACTGGAAATAAATATTTGGTGATTGGTTGAAGACAAGATCATATTTCAAGTTTCGATGATCTCTCCAACCAAGATTATATGAGACCGAGTATGGGGTTGTACTCTTATTGGGGCCTGTATGGATTTAACTACATGTAATGTTATTGTTCGGAGAATATACCACCCATTGTTTTCCTAATTAAGCTTGGTGTCTCCTAATGGACATACTTAAATACAAGCATTTCCTACCAAGAATCCTCCTACGAGAATGATTTTTCAGAATTTTCCTATAACGATGCTTATTCAAAATTTCATGCGAGAAGGGTTAGAGAACAAAAAAAATATATATATATATATATATATATATATATATATATATATATTATTTTCAAAATAAAGCTAAAAAAATTAGAAAAAAATGATATTAGTCGATGTAATACAATTGTGTCGCCGACAATGATATCATTTAATGACAACATTCTAACATACAAAATACTGATAAAAAAAATTGAACATATTTATTACCACACATCATTTTCTCTAAAAACCGTAAATAAGAATAAATTAAATTATAGCAAAATAATAACGAAAATTAAATTGAAGCAAAATAATAAAAATTAAAATAATTGGAATTTATAAAGTCAAGAATTAAAATTATTTTTAATTAAAATAAAAGAGTGCACTAATTAAATTTAAAATTATCGAAAGAGATAAATCTAAATTTAAATTACAAATTGAAATAAAAAACAATAAAATAAAATTGAAAAATTAGAACTGAAAAATGTCAAATTAAATTAGAATTAGGCAATTGTTAAATTGAAATCGAAAATAAAGTCAATTGAATACTTAAATAAAATTAAAAAATTAATAAACAATTAAATAAAAACAAATAAATTAGGTACAGAATGAATAATGTAAATTTAATAATATAAAACTAGAAAATTAAAAAAATTGCAAATTAAATAACAAAAATGAACAACTTACCCAACTAAGTTTGCTAGATTAAAAATTAACTAAAGAAAAATTGAAAATGGAATAGGAAAAAAAGGGGAATAAGACAAAACAACATTTCTTGTCTCAAAGAATGAGATTATGTTTTTCTGCTCTCATCAGACATAGGGGACTGATAAAGAGAAAATAAGCATTTAATTAGTTACAATAAAATTAAATGTTTCATTAATTAAAAATTGGATTATTGCAGTGATGAGAAATTCTTAGGATTGATTTGAGTGATTAAGATTTTTTTCCTTATTTTAGTTGATTTAGTGTTGATTTGCATTTTATTTTTTATTTTTCGTAGCCTTTAATTTAGTTCAATTAAATTCCTACAAACATTAATTTAATTGATTTAAAATTTTTATTTATAATGTTATGCAAATGGACTGCACAAACACTTTTGAATTTATGAGAAGAGTGAAGTTTGGTTGCACATGATGTTTGCATAAATTTAGATTTTTATTTATATTAATTTAGTGCATCTCAAATTACCTTTCTTTAAAAAAAAATGCACTATAAATATATGAGTGCATGTTTTGATGCTAACACTATTCAAAATATAACAAATTAAGAAATATTGAATTATGTTATGATTCTAATTAAAATGGGTATGAAAAAAATAATTAATTTAAAAAATTATCTTAGATCAAAATATAAAGAATAAAATAACATAAATTAATAACTAAATTATTATTATTATTTTTAAAATTTAAAATAAATGATGAATTACAAATCAATTTATCTCCAACCTGTTTAACTCATAAATTAAGTTAATAAAATTTAATTTTAAATAAAAATAAAAAAATCAACTCAACCCGAATCTACACTAAAATAGATTCACTCACAGGTTACCATATTAGACACTCTTAGCACCAACCTTCAAAATAAAACAAGTGAAAGTTAATAATACATTCTACCACAGCCAAAAAACTTAAAGAAATAGTCTACTTACCTTAAAGAATACAGCAACAGTGACATCAATACGATGAAGTAGGATAATGATCCCACCACTACGACCCCATAACTTATATACCAAAAGGTTTTACCACTAAAAATTTATGAATTTAGAATTTATATTTCTTTATTTGTCCTATGTGATTTGATAGTAACCTTTTTCAATTATACCTTTTAAAACTCTTAATTAAACCCTTAAATTAAAAAAAAAAAGCATATTATAAATATTTCAATATCACATAACTTTTAAATATTAAATAACAATATTACAAATATTTCAATATTACATAACTTTTAAATATTAAAAAGATAAAAATATTACAAATATTTCAATATCACATAACTTTTAAATATTATTTTTCTTTTGACAATAAAAGTCATACACGTCACACTTTAGTTTACAACGTGAAATCCAACTAAGTTTGTTAGTTAACGTTCAGTATTTATTAAATAACTTTTTGTATTAATGACTTATACCTAACTTCATTACTGGTTACTTGTAAGAGAAGATGTAGCTTGCATAATATTACAGGTAACTAGCAGTAGAAAATTAATTTAAGAATGTCTTCAAAAGATGTTGGCCATTAAATTCTAATCGTGGCTATAAATACATGCAAAGATAGAGTTTATTTGCTTCTCACTTTTTTCTCATCTTCCTTTGTGCTCTCTCTCTCCCTCACACTCTCTACTCTTCACATAAGTATTCCAGCCATGAATCTCCCCCAATGAATCTTCCAATGATTTTTATTCTGTATTCTTTCATGAACCGGATGAAATATTTGTACAAAACTATTAATTTAATATCATATTGTGTAAACTTAAGGTTTCTGACCATGAATAATCTGTATAATGGTATAAATGATCTACTAATTTATGAGAGAAATGTTTTTATTGCAAAGCATAAAAATACTCTTTTTTTTATAATATTTAAAATATTTTGATTTTAATGTTTTAACCAATACCCAATTAGAGACAAAACCATTTAAAGAACTTTTGAAGATTAAAATCACGATTAACCCATAAATAAATAATAAATAATAAATAAAGATAGATACATATCCATGTCATATCAGACCACGAGTGATGGAGATATTCCTTTCATTTCTCCTTTTATGAGGATGCATTCCTTTCTTTTTAAAATTCATGTATGCTTTGGCTTTGAACACATAAATTAAGGAAGCTCCCAGAGTATCGTCTCATGCAAAACCCAATCTTTTCTCACGCGTTTCTTTCCGCTTTTCAAAAATCAAAAATAGTTTAATGAATAAATTACACCCACTTTGATCAAACAGTAAAGCAATCAGAGAAAAAGAGACACTGGTGTGAACAATTATCAGAAGCTTATAATAAAAATAAAGGTAGTTCCTTTGGCTGGCACATAAAGCAAACCCCACTGGCCACAACAATTAACATACCTTTCTTCTCTCCTTAGCCCTTGTCTTTTTTTCTCTCCAAGTTTGGCATCCCCTTCTCCTTAACCACCAAGGAAGTCTTCTACTTATTGAGAAAGCCCCCACATGACCACAAGGTCCATATTTGGCTTATTTTCTCACTCAAGCAACCAAGAACATAGAAGCAGAAACAGAAGCAGAAGCAGAAGCAGAAAGTGAGAAGTGAAGAGTGAAGGGAAATGGGAGCTGATTGGGGACCAGTTATTGCGGCAGTGGCTTTGTTCATCCTCTTGTCACCTGGTTTGTTGTTCCAGTTTCCAGCAAGGTATAGGGTGGTTGAGTTTGGCAACATGAGCACTAGTGGGATTGCAATTTTGATTCATGCCATCATATTTTTCTGCATACTTACCATCTTGGTAGTAGCAATAGGCATTCACATACACATCAACTGAATCCAAGGTTTACATAGACACCACAAATCTCCATCACTATGCTTACAATTACCCCTTTTTTTTCTTTCTTTTGCTCCTTTGATGTACTAATTTCCCTTTAAAGTTTTCATCTTGGGTACTGTGTACCAAAAATTGTTCAGAATGGCAAAGGAGATATAAACTACATAGGAATTATGTCTTTTGTTAATGTTTACTTCGTTATGCATGAATTTGGTCGCATTGAATTGTATTTAGTACATATTATGCTGAATTCCTAAGTTGTTGTTTGCTAAAGAATATTCTGGATGCAATTTAATAGAATCTCCCAATCCTACATGTATTGTAAAACTAAAAAACTGAAAAATAAGTTTAGTTGAACTTATCCTTCTAATTTATAGCATATAAATAATTTTGGTCCTCATAGTTTAATTATTTAATTTTGATCAATATATTTAAAAATCAATCATTTTAATTTTTATAGTTTCCATTTTGAATTTTAATGTATCCTTTAAAAAATTAGTAATTAAATTTCATTGATACTTATCATCAAATTTGTAACGGATGAAGTGACCTAGCTCTCGATTAATTTAATTGATAATGCATCAAATATTCCTTTGTTTCCCACGGATAAATCTTAAACGAAGATAGCAATCATCTACCACTAAAGTTTATAATCATTCCTTTTAAATATAATTTTAAAAAGTGTTCTAATATTCAAATTGTGTTGATGTCATTTTGAATATAAATAAATCATGTTTGAAGAAATTTTATGTACATTTTATTATAAATCTTTGAATACGTGGTTGAGTCCTCAAGACACAATTTAAATGGAATGGTTTTGGTATAGAAAAAAGGGAATGAAACTGTAACCGGTGAATTTCAAGGACAATCAACTTAAATTTGAGAATAAAAATTAAATTTGGAGTATTCCTAGCAAAAGACGATTTTATTCTTTGAAACGGAAATAAATGTATGTTTGAGGTCTTAATTGAAAATTGAACCTTTTGCAATTCTATTTTTTTAATATTATATTCATCTCTGTCTATCTAACTAATAATACTGAAGGTGGCTAATTTGTTACAGTAACATGTCAATGTGTATGTTATCTGCTTCAGTATAATTCTTAACATGAAAGAAAAAAAAAAATTTTAACAAGAGAAATCAAAAGAAAACTCTATCGCAATTGAAAAATTAAGCATATTAAATGTTCCCCTATTTTTAAAACATAACTTTTAAATATTTTTAAGAAAAATTATGGATTTTTTAATTTAAGTGTACGTATAAAAACAGTGTCAATTTCTTTTTTCTTTTTGCTTCATACCGTAAAATTTTTATATTGATGTAAAATATTTCAAAAAAAAAAATATATATATATATATATATATATATATATATATATATAAAAGACATTTATGTTTATAAAGTATTTTTTAATGATGACTTATGATTTGTTAATATTAATTTTGTTTTTTTTATCTTTAAAACAATTTTAGAAATCAATTTTAAAAAAAAACTGTTTTTGAAGTTAAAAAAAAACTTGTATGAAGATATTACTTTTTGAAAACAATTTCGATGAAAGACAATTGTATACATGACCAAAACAAGTTGTAAAAAAAAATTATCATTTTATGATGATGAACATATATTATTTAAAGTAATTATTAATAAAAATATTATTATCTATTAGAGAAAATAAAGAAATAAAAACTACTTTATCTGCTTCAATTTTATAATTTTTAAGAAAAAAAACAAAAATAATTTTTAAAAAATTTAACAAAATAGTTATTAAAGATTTTTTTGTTTAACATTAAAAAACTTGTTTTGATATTTTTAAAAACAGTAAAGAAATAATACCTTAATTACTTTAATGATTTTTTAAACATCAAAACAACTTGGTCCTAAATATTAAATTAAGCAAATAAATTAGATCATGCATGTCTTATGGTAAAGTTATCGTTTTTATTATATGAGTGTTCATTGGTTTATACAATTAATTTTCATAAAGGTAATTAATTTTATAGAAATTTTGAAATATTTTTAAAAAATGTTGGGTTAAGGATTTTTTTTTAAATATATATTTTAAGAATTTATAATAATAATTTAGTTATTTAAAATTTAAAAAAAAGTCAAATTTCATCTACAAAATAAATATTTGAATTTTCTTCATTTTTAAAATTTGTGTCTCATATCTTCATAATTTTTTTCTTTAATCAAATCATTAAAATTGACACATTTTTATTTCAATTAATGTTAATGAAGTTTTTCATAAACTTAAAAATACCATAAATCTCCACAGTTAAGCTTATTTTTTGTTTACGTCAATTTTGTTTCTCAACTAAAATTAGCGACAAATCTTTCCATCAATATTAACAAATATCTTTTTTACATACTTTAAATACAACTTTTTTTATTGTTATTTATGATTATTTTTGTTGTAATATTAGTCAAGAATATTGGTGAAACCTTTAAAATAATATTCTCTCCATACGATAAATGAGTATTATCTCAATGTCTAACCAAACAAGAAGGTTTTGTAAGTTAATTTGTAGTTTTTCTAGGCTCTTAATTCATTCTAGAAAACTACTTTATAAGATTTTTATATTATTGATTTTCACAATATAACATACATCAATACATGAATAATAGTAAGAAGACTAACTTTGATTCATGATAATATATTCTTTAATCTCTTTGTTTTTCAATCTCCTTTTCTCAATCTATTTCTTTGTCTTTCTTTTTCTTCTCACGCTTTTTTGATGGTTTACCATGAAAAAACCTTATGACCATAGACAAAACCTTAATTCTTTTTTATTAACCAACGTCCATCAAGTTGGTTACCGTAAGTTTTTATTTTATTTTATCTTTATTTTATTTTGACTTCACATAATAATCAATAGATCCTTATATTTTATTAAATTGCATTTGGGCTCATCATTATATTTCACATGAGTCACATAATATAATGAATTAATTAAATTAATTCTAACATTCTGCCACTTGACTCATGTGATGTCATACAATTCTGTGATTTAATACTTAAGTCATAATGCGCATTAAAGGACCTTACATAAATTGGTTATATTATTATTCATAATTAAAGATACAGCTATAACAAGAGTCATTCGGGTTACATATCATTCAATCGACATGCTCCCTTCCATGTACAATTATATTATCTCTTTCTCCTTAATATGACTTTATAATGAGAAGTCCATAATGGGTTCAAACATAATATCATCTCAATAAAAATAACATAATTTGTTTTCTTCATCATAATTTGCATGCATATAAATAAAGAAGAAAACATAAATTTCAAAAACTTATACATTAAAGATCTCAGAGTGGCACATAAGCATTAATTATAACATTAACATTCACTAGTAAACATAATGCCCACATTCATTATATGGCCAACAAATAATTTAAGTGGTAATCCCTTTGTTAAAGGATCAACAATCATAAGATCAGTGTTAATATGTTCTATTGACACTCTCTGTTTTTGAACTTCTTCTTTAACGACAAAGTATTTCAATTCCATATGTTTAGCACCTTTGAAATACTTATCGTTCTTAGAAAAGGAGACTGATGCGAAATTATCACAATAAATTTTCAGCAGCTTGGCAATATTGTCGACTATTCCAAGTCTTAAAATAAAATTTCGCAACCAATTAGCTTGAACTGTTGCCTCAAAGCATACCACAAATTCAGCTTCCATGGTGGATGCATCAATGACAGATTGTTTCGCACTTTTCCATGAAATCGCTCTTCCGACTAAAAGATACACATAACCAAATGTAAACTTTCGTGTATCCATACAACCAGCAAAATTTGAATCTGTATATCCAATCACCTCAAGGTGATCAACTTTCTTATAAGTAACCATGTGATTCTTTGTTCCTTGTAAGTATGTTTGAGCATACATCAAACTCCCAACAACAGATGCATAAGGGATATTTTTCATCTGTTTCCGTTCCAAGTCATTCTTTGGATATTGTATGAGACTGAATTTGTCTCCTTTCTGTATTGGAACGGGAGATGTTGAACACTTCTCCATTCTGAATCTCTTTAAAATTTTATTAATATATTTTTTTTGAGACAAACCTAACCGTCCTTGTGATCTATCAGAAAATATTTTTATTCCTATCACATAGTATGTCTCACTCATATCTTTCATTTCAAAGTTGTTAGAGAGAAACTTCCTAGTCTCACTTAATAAACCAAGATCATTAGTCGCAAGCAAGATATCATCAACATATAGAATCAGAAATAAAAACTTGTTCCCACTGACCTTCAGATATATACACCGATTAACAATGTTTTCCTTAAATCCAAAGGACAGAATAGTATCATTGAACTTAAGATACCATTGTCGAGAAGTTTGTTTAAGTCCATATATTAATTTCTTAAGTTTACACACCATGTGCTCTCTTTCTGCTTCAATAAACCCCACCGGTTGATCCATATAAACATCCTCCTCTAAATCTCCATTCAGAAAGGCATTTTTAACATCCATTTGATGCAACTCAAGATCATATTGAGTTATTAATGACATGATAATTCTAAAAGAATCTTTCTTAGAAACAGGTGAAAATGTTTCCTTATAATCAATGTCATCTTTCTGAGTAAAACCTTTAGCAACAAATCAAACCTTATAACGTTCGATATTGTCATGAGAGTCATGCTTAGTCTTAAAGACCCATTTACACCCAACACTCTTGCATCCTTCTAGCAATTCCACAAGATCTCATACACCATTATGTGTCATTGATTCAAGCTCATTTTTCATCGCATCTAATCATTTATCAGAATTGTCACCATTAATGGCTTCTGAAAATGAAATTGGGTCATTATCAATACTTAGGTCATTTTCTGACTCTTGTAGATAAATCACATAATCATTCGAAATAGCAGACTTTCTTTCTCTGTGAGATCTTCTTAATATTATTTCTTGTGGTTGTTCTATAATCAGCTCATTGTTAATCTCAAGATCATTAATTTGTTGTTCTTCTTTATTGTCGTGT